TTTATTTACAGCACCATTGAACATTTTTCACTCTTAAAGGTAAGCCTATGTGCACACATTGTTGGGGGATTTACATGAAATTAGTTACTCAAACTTTACATTTTAGAGCTTTAATAATTCCCCCAAATGCGACGATCATACTTTGGCAAAATTGCCTGTAAGGACAGAAGGAAGAGGTTAAGCAACAAAACTCCACAATACTGTAACATAGCCTCAGACCTCCAGGAAGGGGTCACTCTCCCTTGAAAAATCATTGTCCTTTCTGGATTGTTTCCATTAGAATTCAGAGCAGGCTCAGTGTCTTTAGACTGGCTTTGTACAAGTCAGTTGATCAGTCTAGCAACATTCAAGAAAGTTCCATGTAAACAAAAATGTGTGGAATAAAATACCAGCAAAGAGAAGCTCCAGAAAATGACATGTGAATTAGCTAAACTCTAAACTCATAAGAAAATTTAGATTTCATTGAGGATTGTGGTGTGATGTGGGTTCCATTTGAGAAGCTAGTTTCCTGATTCTATGGCTACCAGAAAAACCAAACCCATTGCCGTCAAATCAATTCCAACTCACAGCGACTCCATAAGACAGAGTAGAACTGCCTCATAGGGTTTCCAAGAAGCAGCTGGTGGATTCAAACTGCTGACCTTTTGGTTAGTAGCTGAGCACTTAACCACTGTGCCACCAGGGCTCCTTCAGATGCACAAATAGGTGACAGTTTACCAGGTGAATGACAGAGCTATCAAACAGGCCAGGATCATTACTCAGGCTTAATTTGAAACCTAAGTAGATCAAGTTTCCTCATTTTTCCTGAACTAGTTTTGGTTTGGTTTTGTTTTTTTCTGCAAGAGTTGTGAAGACATATTTAAAAGCTGGATAAATTTAAAGCAGGAAATGTTTCTCTTCTCAGAGAAAATGAATATGATCTGGCAAGGGATTAATTTAGCTATAATGGTATAGATTTTTTTTAACGTCTGAACTTGTCATTAGCACTAAGTTGAGCTTGTTATCAAGAACCAATAACAAGAACATCATCATGTTTGAAATTAGTAATGTTTTATGTAGAAGAGAATTACGCATCTTCACCCCACGAATGAACTATACTGGTATTCTCTGCTCCCGTTTAGTAATGGATTCATCAAACTGAGGATGTCAGTGAGTTGAGGAGACCATCACAGAGTCGTGAGAGAAAATACTTTTGTCTTCATTTCATTCACTATTTGAATGACTGATCTGTATAACCGGATTTGTAAGGAATTTTTTTTTTGAATTCTACTTTTTGTTTAAATGTCCAAAGTTCCTACGTAGAGACTATTGCAATTTTTATGAATAGTTTAATCTTGCCTTTAAAAATACTTTTTTAAAGATTGATATTAAAAAGATTCTTGGGCTCTGAAGGGTCTTTCCTCAGCATCCCTAAACTATCCTTAGTTTAAGCCAGTGACTCTAGCCCCAGGGGACATGTGGCAATGTTTGGAGACATTTCTCGTTGTCACAACTGAGGTGAGGGCTGTTACTGGCATCTAGTGGGTGGAGGCCAGGGATGCTGCTAAACACTCCAGAATGCACAGGGCGATCCCCTGCAACAAAGAATTTTCCAGTTCAAAATGTCAGCAGTACCCTGCTAGAGAAACCCTGGTTTAAACATAAGGGGACAAAAGCTCACAGGGAAGCTGTCTTATTCGAATCCAAAACGTGCCTCAGTGATTTCCTTTGAAACACCCATTTCCATTGAATTTTGAGGTGCCTAATGGAACGTCCTCTATAGTCTGGCCAGCCTGTGACGGGGATAACGTACTAAATATGGAGAAATATGTTTAATTCTTCCTCAAACAATGTCCCCTTATTTTATAGATGTTTATAAAAAAAATTAGAGGGGTAATACAATATGTTTTTGGGTTTTTTTGTCAGCAACAGAGCCTGACAGCCCTATGGAATATTCATAATGGCCAAATATCACGAGGAAAATTAACCTCTATTTTCGGAAACAAAGTTTAGCTGGTGCTAAAATAATGTGGCAAGGGCTTCCTATAGAAAGAGAAAGCGTACAAGCGGCAGATGGGAATTTCAAAGGGCTGTGGGGAGAGCCTTTTCCCGCGTCCTGTAGTTCAGCATGAGGAAAATCCACACTGACCTGACACACAGAGCATCCCAGGCGCTTTTAAAAAATTATTTTCAGTTCTTCAAAAAAATAGAGAGACACAGGAAATTCTCTGGAATTAACCTAAACACACAGGTTGAATTGAAAATCAACGCCTTTGAATCATGGTGTTGACAAAGAATATTGACTATACCTTGGACCACCAGAAGAACGAACAAATCTGTCTTGGAAGAAGTACAGCCAGAATGCTCATTAGAAGCAAGGATGGCGAGACGTCGTCTCACATGCTTTGGACATGTTATCAGGAGGGAGCAGTCCCTGGAGAAGGACATCACGCTTGGTAAAGTAGAGGGTCAGAGAAAAAGAGGAAGACCCTCAACCAGATGGATTGACACAGTGGCTGCAACGATGGGCTCAAGCATAACAAGGATTATGAGGATGGTGCAGGACCAGGCAGTGTTTCATTCTGTTTGGCATGGGGTCGCTGTGAGTCGGAACCAACTTGACGGCACCTAACAACAACAACACAAGAACACCAAACTGAGTGATAATGTTTTTCTAATTGCAGGGAAAAACGAAAGCACTGTTTTACATCTACTGCCCATCAGGTGCTGCTGCCCCCAAGCAGGGCTGATTCGAAGGAAAACGAAAAGCTCTTGCATTTCCTTGGGAGAATTAGAAGTCAGGACAGTAAAAGGGAGAGAAAAACCCAAATAAAAACACCACACAGACTCAGCATACGTCACGTGCTGGGGTGGCAAATGCAACCCACCTAACCCCGTATAAAAACATTGCACGTAATTAGCCTGTTTGGGCGTTTTTAAATTTTCTCAGCCAAACTGTCTTTCAAAGGCATTATTTCACATTAACTCTACTCCACAATTCGGTACATTCGTAAGTGTAAATGGGAGATATTCTTCTGAGGTTAGGCTTAATTATATTGGAATTAAGTCCTTTTTTTTTTTTTCCTTTCTTTCCAGGAAAATGGTTTAGAGATTAATTAAAGAATGCTATTTGGATGCAAACTAATATGCATTTCATTGCACAAAAACTATGAAATTATCATTTTTCTTCCCTTTTCATAAAGGCAGAATGATGTGAAATCAAATTATATCTTTAAATCTGAAAATGAGAGACAAATTTCTTCTTTGGCTCCAGGCAAGTCATCTCAAACCAGAGTCACGTAGGAGAATTTGGCCCACACATGGTGAGTTCACAGAGAATGCCCTGGTTTGTGCAAGTATCAGCCACGACTTAATACTTTACCCTTCCTAAACTATAAAGTGCATATAACCTGGCTCAGTCAACTACTAGGGATAACAACATACACAGACAGCTATTTACCTAATTCATGGTCAACTTTCAAGGAATAAACAATTTCCTGTCCTACTGATCACAGCTGCTTACTTATTTCAGCCTTAGAATTCAAGACTAAAACACATTTTAAAAGATGGTGTTTGTAATACAAAATGCAGGTGCAATTTCCTTTGCCAACCTAGCATTTCTGATGAGTTCTGTGCAGAGCATAAACAGGACTCAAAGCCTACGGCATAAGAGAGGGTCATTTTCAGTTCATCCTGCAGCCCATCAGAGAAGATGCTGGGGCTCCACGGAGGCTCTTCCCATTTCTTCATACCTATTTTGATTAAATTAAAACATTAATGTCTAAATAATTGATAAATACATGGTAGTTGCTTCTCCAATACTAATGTATAGTGGTTTGGGGTCGAATCAGATTCTAATACATTTATTTAAATTTGACAATATGAATCAGAGACATACAATTCTAAGCTCTTCAAAACAAGTTAAAAGCAGCAATTAAATAAATTCTCATTTCTCCCATAGACATAATCTTTTCCATCAAGTTAGTAGTTGGCAGCTATAATAAATACTTTAAAATATATCTAACTAAAGAAAAGGCAATCTAGCTTATTTCTTTGGCAGCAACGAATACTCAATGCCATATATTCTTCTATCCCCAAAATACTCATTTTCTCTGGTAAATGCTACACAGATAGATCCGTGTGACCATATTAAAGAAGGCTCAAAGGAAATTTAGACAGTAAGTAATTTATTATTAAAGCAACAGATGGAAAAGGTCCTAACTGGGCTCACGGAAAGAACTTGTGTCATGCTTAAGGAAGCAGCAATATTCCCACACTTTCAAGTGAAAAAAAGAAACGGATTTTATATATTTAAACCTCTGAAACACCCTATAGCTGTAGTTTAGTTCACAGTAGAAAGTAAACATTAGTTTTCTCTCCATCTCTCAAAATGAAGAGTTGGTCAAAAAGTATTTGCACCCCCCTCAAACTCTTCTTCCTCCAGTGTTCCGACAGCATTTTCTACTTTAATAGATATTCATTTTACATTTATTCAAAAATGAGTCAAAAGAAAAAAATAGTTCAGCGGAGACCAGAATATCTAACTTTCCTGTCTTACGATCTTCCAGGGGAATGGAAAAAAGATAGCTATTATGGTTCTGACTTTTTTTTTCAACATACTTCGGCTAAGAGCACCCTTAAGACTCTGCCAGAAGTGCTGATCAATTGAAGAACAAAACAGAACTACTTTGAATGCTATGTTCACAGTCACTGAGTCCCAGACTTCATTATCCCTGGTATATACACTAGCGTGGTTTGCTTTCAAAAGTCAAAGTTCAAGCTAAAACTGTTGAAGTGCAGCCTGAGACGCCCAGAGTAATGTAAAGCAGTTGCCAGTCACAGAAAAATTAACAGACGTGTTCAACTCAACCCCATACTGAACACACAGCCAACCCCTTACTGAACACAGAGAGTGCACACTGCAAGTTTGACCAGTGCCTACCACCCACCAAGCCCTCCCCACAAGCCAAGCTGATGGTCAAAGTGCCTTGTCTATCCAATCTGGCTATGGGGGTACCAGATTAAAAGTGTGTGTTGTTTATATAATGTTGGCCCTCCTGGGTGCTTTTACAAGCTTCTCCATAGCCACTCAGATAGCCGCCCGAAGATACATCAATAGCCACTTCCGCCATGTCTCTTCTGAGGCTGTCACTTCGGTACGCATCTAGAGACGGATAGCCATTGTGCTCTGCACAGCCATTGACGTAGGCCAGGGGCAGTGGCCCGGGGGGACAGCACAGCTGCTTGGCGCAGCTCTTGGAGATGCAGGGTGAGCTGCAGAGCAAGAGCAAGTCCTTCTGCTCCAGGGAGTCCTTCATGTCCACATTTTCCAATTGGATGGTCACATTGTGGATTCCCGCATTGTGGAAGATTTCTCGAATTTTGATGCTGGCATCTTCATATCCCCTGTCCTTCTGATACTTGATGTGCAGGGTGGCAATGATCTTTCCGTTTATAAGTTCCCAGATGTGCAGCTCATGTACACTGCTAATACCGGGCACACTAGACAGCTTGCTCACTAGAACAGAGAAAAGCAAACAGAGCAAAGGTGAGTTCTATAACTGAGCAAGGAACTATGGGGGAGGTCTGGGCCCCTTCAGCTTTCTCACCAAAATGTCTGTGTAATTACTGAAAGTTGTTGTTGATGTGTACCATCAAGTCGATTCCAACTCATAGAGACCCTACAGGACAGAGCAGAACTGCCCATAGGGTTTCCTAGGCTGTAATCTTTATGAGAGCAGATGGCCAGGTTTTTTCTCCCACAGAGCAGCTGGTGGATTCTAACCATCAACCTTTGGTAGCAGCTGAGTGCTTAACCACTGCACCACCAGGGTTCCTTTTTACCAAAAGTTGCAGGTAGAAAAATAGCTGTCCCTTTATAGGCACATTTTCCCATAATCATCTTTCTCCTCTCTGAATTCTTATACCACATACGTTTAGTACATAAAAGGCAAATCAAGAATACAGGTTTAACAAAAAAACAATAATACTAACGGCCCCGGGTTGTTGAGCGTCCAATAGAATGGACACGTAATACACTGCAGGCGACAGTATAAAACAGAATACCTTTTTTAAGGGGCTAATTCGGCAATACAAATCAAAAACCTTTAAAATGTGGTCAGCACCTCTAATACCAGAACTTTATTCTAAATAAAATAACCATGGATGTTCCAAGTATTTATGTACAAGAATAGCTGGGGCAATGCAATTTGTAACAATGAAAAAAACAGGAACCATAAGGAAAAAGCTAAATCAATTGTATCATGGAATATAGTAACCGCCATTGAAGACTGAGTTGCAGAAAATACTTAAGGCTACAGGGAAATGTACATGAGACATTTTAAAGAGAGAAAGCGAATAGCTGAACTGTATATACGACTTGATCTTTTTTTTTTTTCCTTAAAAAACATCAAAGCATATGCACAAAAATATTAAGGGTTAATTTCTGGGTGGTAGAATTATCCCACAATTTCTTCCTCCATGGGCTCTTCTAGTTCCCATACCTGGTAAAATGGATATGTATTTAACAAGATGGTATTTAGTAGTGGTTATGAGCAAAGACCCTGTAGCCAGCTAGAGTCTGAATACCAGTTTAGTCATTTACTACCTACTGGCCTTGGGCAATGTACCCAGCTGCACCTCAGTTTCCTTATCTGTAAATTAGGAATGATAATAATAGTACCTCCTAAGATTACTGTAAGAATTAAAATGATGTGCTAGCTTGTGTAAGTGGCATTACAGTGTTGCTATTGTTATTATTATAAACTTTTTTAAATAATGTTTTTAAATTATTACTTTATTAAAAGGCAATCTATAATTTGACAGTTTAGAACTTATTTCCCTTTCCCAGTCTCCACTGCATACATATTGTTAAAAAAATTTTCCTAATGTATAACAGCTAAAATGAACATTTTTTACAAATTAAAAAAAGGCAGTCTAAGCCAATCTATATATCACAAATTGTTTTCTATAGATTTATCTTGTTTCCTCAACTGGGAAACAGTTCCTGGGAGGATAAAGGCAATGTGGTATCTCTATCTGCTCCTCTGTGCCTCCTCTCCCTCCCCACCGCCCCCTCTGCCTGCTACAATCACTGGGCAAACAGACTTTCAGGAAACAGAGGTTAATTATTTTAATTCTCTATAATACACTATGCAGAGTTGGCCACACCAAACTGACTGTCAGAGACAGTTAACTAACCGACACAGCCAGAGAAAAGGCCATAGGGTCTGGAACAACCAGGGGAAAAGATCATAGGAGGAGCGACAGCTGTGGGCAATGGCGTGACAGGGTGGTACCATGACCGTGGCTATTAAGTGAACACAGGGATGCAAGGCTGCAACCTTCGTAAAACAGCCACGTTGTAAACTCTGCCATCATCAGGGGAAGAGTCTAACCGGGCCACACAATGCATTATGGCCCATTTAAATATAATTTCAGGTATGTGCCATGAAATAAGGTCTTAAAACTTTCAGTCTCACAGTGGGTCTGAATTCTATTTCACATTTGCTTGCTCACTGGTGATGCCATAACAATAGCAAATATGCATAAAACAGTTTTTTTCTATAAAAAATAATTTCCATTTGGAAATGCTAAAAATAAAGTTGTGCATTCAGTTTCTAACCAACATCTGAATGGTTTCTATTTAGAAATTCTACAAAATCTCTACAAATGTTTACTCTCAAATGCTCATAACTGAAGTGAGACTTTGACCTGTTTGAGCAAAGCAAAGAAACAGATTTCATTACTAAAGGGGGGACTGAATGCTCTGAATTTAAAACCTGCTCTTTCTGTAATGTTAGGAGAGGCGTGCTGGCCTGCATGCCCATTAAAATCAATTAACTAGAAAGCATATCCGTATGATTTATGTTTTCAGAATCAGGAGAGTATAAAAATAAGTTGTTGGCAGAAATCGTCTTATTTGCAGTACAATAACCCTTTGACATAGAGGTGAATAGCCCAGGAATAGGTATTGCTCAAGCACTACATTTTCAAAAAATTTACCGTCGAGTTAGAGAGTCACGGGTTGGAACGGACCTTTGGTTCTTGCAGCTGCAAGTCATCTTACTAGGCTACAAAGTATATGAAGCCATGTTGTTTACCTCCTGGTGATCAGAAGTATTTCAGAATACATAAATCCAACATGGCTCCGAAATAATGCTGGCCCTTTGGCCTGAGTAACATGAAATCAACAGTAATTTTAGGTCACAGTCCAGCATGACTTACTCAGGTCTTCCACGTCAACTCCTTTGGGGACCATCTGTAGCAAGATGGATGCGGTCTCCTTGATGAGTGGAAAGGCGGATGACAAAATGATGATAACCATGACCACAGTGAGGCTGGGGTCAATGTAGCACTGCCAGTTACAGGGGTCGTTGCTGTTCAGGGGAAGCACATAGAATATGATGGCCGTGATCACCACAACCACGGAGCCTAGGGCATCTCCCATCACATGCAAAAGTACACCTGCCGGGAAGAAAGAAAGATGGCTAAAGCACAAATCCAAGATGGAAGCCACATGACACTCACTGACTCATATCCCATGTATGTTTAGGCCTGTTGCTCTGTTTCCTGCTTAGTTAGAACAGCAGGGTGGGTCAGAATGAAAAAATAACGGCAATTGCTTTTCAGAAGACAAAACATGAGCCCACCCTTCCAAGACACAGAGAACCTGGGAAGAAGGAGAAGGAGAGTCCAGGAAGACCCTGAGCTAGCAGACACCTGAGGGAAGAGTGACTGTCGTCTCATAGTGCCACATCGCCACCACCCACCATCCATCACAGGGCGCCAACCTGGAGAACAGAGGCTGTGCAAATGCTTTCTTTTTCTTTCAGGCAAATGTCTGTGCTACCACTTGCTTTAAACATTCTTAAGAGAAAAGGGAACTGAAATGTATCAAGAGAGTTGTTCTTTTTATTCCTTGTCTTCCCACTACCTGGATCCATTTCCCTCTTGTGCGTATGTATTTGCCTGTATCTCACTTCAAAAAAAAAACAGTTGCCAAGTCGATTCCAATTCATGCTGACCCCATGGGTGTCAGCATAGAACTGTGCTCCATAAGATTTTCAAAAGCTAATTTTTCGAAAGTAGATCTCTAAGCCTTTCTTCGAAGATGCCTCTGGGTGGACTTGAACCTTCAAGCTTTCGGTTAGCAGCCGAGTCCTCAAGAACAGCAATGTTTCCACTGAATAGCATGTCATTTGTTACAAAAAAAATGAAATTAAAATTCTATAGATCATAACAAAAATTGTGAAAGACTGTATTTAGGGAAACAGCTTCTAAAGGCATACACAATGATGTAGAAAACATGCCCAAAAAAACCAGTTGTGGTCAATTCCAACTCATGGTGACTCATCTGTCTCAGAGTAGAACCGTGTTCCATGGGGGTTTTCAAAGAAAACATGCGATCCTCAGCAAGAAGATGTGGGTGCTCAACTGTTTGTCAGACATAGACTAAAATGATATTTAGTAAATTAGGTGAAAATCTTGTTAGAAGAATTAGAAAATGTAAACACGAAGTATTTTTTACAGAAAGTAACATCGGGATCTTGCTATTTAAAGTGTGGTTTAAGATCAGCAGCATCAGCATCACCTGGCAATCTGTTGGGAATACTGAGTTTCGGGTCCCACTTCAGACCTACTGAATTGGAATCTGCATTTTAACAAGATCCCAGGTGATTCAACGCGTCAAAAAGTTTCCAAAGCACTCTGCTCTGGAAGAAAACATACATGAAGAAAGGTCTGCTTTGTCTCTCCAAGTATTAATTCTACTGAGTGAATCTGTGGGATAATAATCCAAATTACTAACAACTCACTCATGGCTAAGACAGAATGGTCTCACTTTGGAGATGCTTTAATTGGGCTAATTCCTCCCCCTGGCAACACTGCCAGCTTTCTGAGTATGTCATAATTGCCAGTCTGTAAACATACTTAATGTTAATTTGTGACAACTTTTCCCCCCAAATAATGCTGGAGTAAAAGGATCCCCACATTTTCTTTCGACTGTTTACTTGTAGTAACAGAATACTGATTCAATAAATAAATAACCCACTGCCGTCAAGTCGATTAGAGACTCATAGCGACCCTACAGGACCGATGAGAATTGCCCCATTGGGTTTCCAAGGCTTGAAGCACTTACTGATGAAAATCAAAGACCACAGCCTTCAGTATGGATTACACCTCAACATAAAACAAAAACCCTCACAACTGGGCCAATAAGCAACAGTATGATAAATGGAGAAAAGATTGAAGTTGTCAAGGATTTCATTTTACTTGGATCCACAATCAATGCCCAGGGAAACAGCAGTCAAGAAATCAAATGACGTATTACATTGGGCAAATCTGCTGCAAAAGACCTCTTTAAAGTGTTAAAAAGCAAAAGTGTCACTCTGAGGACTAAGGTGCACCTGACCCAAGCCATGGTGTTTTCAATTGCCTCACATGCATGTGAAAGCTGGACAGTGAATAAGAAAGACTGAAGAATTGATGCCTCTGAATTTGGGTGCTGGTGAGGAGTATTGACTGTGCCATAGACTGCCAGAAGAACGAGCAAATCTGTCTTGGAAGAAGTACAGCCAAAATGCTCCTTGGAAGCGAGGATAGCAAGACCTCATCTCACGTTCTTTGGACATGTTATCAGGAGGGACCAGTCCCTGGAGAAGGACATCATGCTTGGTAAAGTAGAGGGTCAGCGAAAAAGAGGAAGACCCTCAATAAGATGGATTGACACAGTGGCTGCAACAATGGGCTCAAACAGCAATGATTGTGAGGATGGTGCAGGACCGGGCAGTGTTTCGTTCTGTTGACTATGAGTCAGAACCAACTTGATGGTACCTCACAACAACAAACCACAATGAAGCAGACTGCCACATCTTTCTCTCGTGGAGCAGCTGGTAGGTTTGAACTGCCAACCTTTTGGTTAGCAGCTGAGCACCTAACCACTGTGCCACCAGAGCTCCCTATAAATAAACAATCTCATTTCCTTCTTCTGTGTCCGTCTCCCACCCCTGCAAAACTTTCCTATGAGTTGGCCCTTGCACCTTGTTCTACTGGGATTAACTGAGGATCTAAGCTTTAACTTTGTTCAGGACAGTACAAAATACTACCATAAAACTATGAAAACATTCCCTACACTGTTTGATGTCATTTTCATTACCTGAGACAGATTGTTATTTATCATATGATGGTTTTCCTGCACGTTAGCCTTATTTCCTCCATTAGACTATAAGTAACATGAAGATGAGTGTCACACCATGCATTTCCTTTGTTTATACTAAAGACATACTGGTATACCTGTTCATACTGGAGGCACATCACCACATTCAACCACCCGTTGCCATTGAGACCATTCCGACTCATGGCAAACTCATTGGGTTTTTCTTGTCTGTCATCTTCATGGAAGGAACCCGGGTGGTTCAACGGACAAGCGCTTGACTACTAACCAAAAGGTTGGCAGTTCAAATCCACTCAGCAGCTCTGTGGGAGAAAGACCTGATGATCTGTTCCCATAAAGATTACAGCCAAGAAAACCCTATGGGGCAGTTCTACTCTGTCACATGAGTTGCAATCAACTTGGTGGTACCTAACAGACAACAAAATCTTTATGGAAGGAGGCCTGGCAGTGCAACAGTCAAGTGCTAGGCTAACCAAAAGGTTGGTGGTTTAAACCCTGTGATGGGAAGTCTCAAAGAAGTCTTCTCAGGAGGTAGGCAATTTGGGCTGGACTCTGAAGAGGAGACAGACAGACTTGAACATGCAGAGCCAGGAGAAGCCATGTGAGACCTGGGGAGAGGCTGCAGACAGGGGATGTGCTTGTTAGGCAATGGGACACGGGTGGGCTAAATTTGGAATCCCAAAACCTGTTACTGTTTTTATAAGCCATGGGGCTGTTGTTGTGTGACGTCAAGTCAATTCCGACTAGCAACAAGTTTCTCATCTGTAAACTGAGGATAATAATATCTGCTTCACTTCCCTCAGAGGCTAGCTCTGAAGAGCACGTGAAACAACTTCTGAAAACCCACAGAAACGTGCACAGAACTGGAGACAATGTGGGAGGTCTGACAGGGAGACTATGATAAGGATGAGCAGGTCTTCTGCCCCCACCACACTTGCAATCCTCACAACACAATGATGCTGGTCCTCCATTACAGACATAGGGCAACTGAAACTCAAAGAGGTCAAGTTCCTTGCCCAAGGCCATCCTGTCAGCAAAAGGCAGACAGGACTCAAACCAGATCAGTCTGACTTCAGAGCCTGAGCACTTCCTGGTGCGTTAAAGGGGAGCAGAGAGGGGAGGCAGCAATGTGCTGGGGGCAGAAGTAGGCAGTGAAGTAAAGGGGATGGGAAGGAAGAAGGGAGGCAGAGAAGTGGTGGGGGGAGAGGAAGCAGTAAAGGGGTAGGGGAAGAAGGTTAGGCCGTGAAGGAGTGGGGAAGGGCAGATAAGACAGTGAAGGGTGGGGCATAGTTGAGGCAGTGAAGGGGTGAGGCGAAGGGAGAAATGTCTAGAAAAGAATGCTGGCACTGGAACACACAAGCCCTTGAGTGTCAGCAGTGTTTAGACCTTATTCTGGATGCAGTAAAATCTTCTGAGCAGACACTGATGTGATCATATCTGTGATTCAGAAAGATAAATCTGGCAGCACTTTCCAGATAACAACGATCGTCCCTCGTTAGACAACTCAATCACCGGACCAGTCACAATGCTCACAAGGTAGCTTTGCAAAGAGAAAAACCTCAGCACTTGGCCCTCACTTGCTGGTCTAAGGAGTCCCTGGGAGGTGCAAACTCCTTGGATAATTTTGCTGGCATTTCATGCAACCTTAACAACCTAGCAAACTGAGAATGCAGACTATAAGCAAGGTTCTTTTATAGGGGCATATAAATATGACTGAAGTCATGACTGGGGGGCCTGGGTGGTGTAAATAGTTAATACATTCAGCTACTAACTGAAGGGTTGGCAGTTCGAGTTCACCCAGAGGCGCCTTGGAAGAAAGGCCTGGCGATCTACTTCTGAAAAATCAGCGATTGAAAACCCTAAGGAGCACAGTTCTACTCTGACACACATGGGGTTCCCATGACTTGGAATCGACTCTATAGCCACTGGTGTTGGAAAAACAAAAAACTTCAAATAGTCATATCCAAGAAGCGGTTGGAGGATTTGAACTGCCAGCCTTTGGGTTAGCAGCCATATCACTTCACCACTGCGCCACCAGGGCTCCAGTCGTATAACAAGCACGGGCAATTTAACATAGTTGAAATTTGATAACTGTCCCAGGACTTGGAAAAACCATCGATGCTGCTAAATTTGTTCAATAACTGAGAACAGTGTGCATTAGCCCTGTGCATTTACAAGGGGCTATAAAAGGGCAATGATCCCTGCTGCACGGTGGTTAAGTGCTCAGCTGCTAACTGAAAGGTCAACAGTTCGAACCCACCAATGGCTCCGTGAGAGAAAAGACCTCGTGATCTGCTCCCGTAAAGGTTACAGCCTAGGAAACCCCGTGAGGCAGTTCCATTCTGTCCTATAGGGTCGCTATGAGGGGGAATGGACTCCACCGTGCACGACAGCAGCAACATTTTAAAAGGACAAGGGCGCTTTCTTATGGGAAAATAAAAATAAGAACGTTAGAAAATCTCATGAAAAGGGATTCATTTCCAATGATATCAGGATTACTCTTCATTTGTTTATGTTTATACTAAAGTAAAAGAGCTCACTCTCTGTCCAACACTCGTGGTAACATTTTCTAATGCACCATGTTTAATTCTACTAAAACCCACCCCTGCAAAGCTCAAGGACGAGCATTTTAAAAGGATTCTGGTTTTCACTGTATGTTTCTTAGAACACATTTTTTTTCTTCCCATTTAAATAAGAGGAGCAGTCAGTCATGAAATTAAGAGGTGCTTTTGGTTCACAGGAATCCCTCCAGATGTTTCCCTTGCTGATCTGGGGGCCAGTCCCGCTTTCCAACACAGCTGCTTAGATGGCAGAAATGTAACCACTCAGCAGACAGTGCACACCTGAGAAGCGAGCCATCTGTGCCTGGGGTCGCGAGGCGGTGTGCAATAGCGGAAAGAGGCAGAAATGTGAAGCAGGAGCCCAGGATCTCAGCCCTGCCCTGCGGCCAGCTGAGGTGACCCTGCCCTGCGGCTAGGTGAGGTGACGTGGGGAAGTCACATGACTTTATGGGCTCTGTTTCCCCATCTGTAGAGGGAAGGGGTTGGAGTCCCTTTACCCTAAGGTTTTTCATTCTGTGGTCCTGTGACATGTTTCCCTAAACCATTGTTCCAAGGCGAGGGTACAGGACCTAAGGTGAGGCAGGTGACACTTAGAACCGAAACTGGAGACGCTGTGATGTTCCTGCCAGCCACAGCATGGGTACTCGTGAGAAACAGCAGGAATGCTCTGAGCTAACCCTTACTGAGCTGCGTGGGTTTGAGCCCCAGCTCTCCCTCGCAGTTACCTGACAACGACAATAGACGGTTGTTGTCGTCAGGTGCCCTCAAGCCGATGCTGACTCATGGCGACCCCATGTGTGCAGAGTAGAACTGCACTCCACAGAGTTTTCAAGGCTGTGACCTTTCCAGTGCAGATCACCAAGTCTTACGTCTGAAGTGCGTCTAGGCGGTTAGTTATCTAGTGCTTAACCATTGTGCCACCCAGGGACCCGAACGACGATATACCCACCTGGTAAGGCGGCTGTGACTATGAAAAGACTCATTCATGACTGGTGACAGGCTCAGAGTACGCACTCCTTAATAAACGTCAGCTAATATTCCTCCTATGTGCCACTTAACATGCTTTAGCTCGTAACAACTCCATGAGGTGGGTACTGCTATTCCCATTTTAAAGATGAGGGAATTGAAGGCTTGGAAAGGTTCAACAACTTGCCCAAATTCACATAGCTCATAAGTGACAGAACCTGGATCCAAAACCAGACAGCTTGAGGCCAAATCCCAGTCTTTCAACCACTGCACTGTTGGTCTCTATTGGAAGCTAGAGGTGACTTCTGTCAGTCCCTGTGGGTGGACGACAGGGCTGGGCCAGGCACTGCGAGGCACTCTTCCACCCCAGAGCGCCAATAACTGTGGACTACAATCAGCAAGATCATACAAGTCTACCTTACATTATGCTTCCCAGTCACAATCACAATATCTACTGGGACCTGCTCTTCATTCTTCTTTGCTTCTTTTCAACTACCTGTTCTCCTTGTCCATTCGGTAGCATATCAGTTAAGTTAAGACAGTTAACAGAAAGTCCTCTGAAAAGTTAAAGTGTTATGATGATGAAGTCCACCTTAAGAACCTACAATATTTATTTTTTCAACCAAGCCTAAACCAGAAAGATAAATTAAAGGATGATGATTTTTCACTACAAATTCTCTCTTTCCAAAAAATTCACTACCAAGCTCTTTAAAATAAAACATAAAAACAGTTTCTGTTGAGTCAACTCTGACTCCTGGCCACCCCGTGTGTGTCAGAGTAGAACTGTGCTCCACAAGGTCTTCAATGGCTGATTTTTCGGAAGTAGATCGCCAGGCCTTTCTTCCAGGAGCCTCTGGGTGGACTCAAACCACCAATATTTCAGTTAGCTGCAAGCATGTCAACCGTCTGCGCCCCCCAGGGATTCCACCAAGTTCTTTGGAAGAGCTTGTTGCCCTGTTGCATTTAAATTTGTTGTAAATAATTTATTTAGAACTTTTTAGAAGCTCACGTGTTATAGTTGCTGTTATCCAATTTTCCCTATAAGTCCATTCTGGGAATCGCTTGTAAGACAGATGTGTGACTCTCAAAACTGAAAGTGTCTCCTGTATTATTAATTATTTCTTTATATGTTTATTTCCATCAAAGTACCACGAAAGATTTCCCCAAATCATCTGACAGTGAAGAGTTTCTTAATCTTTGCTGAAATTCCCAAAGTCATTCTGGATCATTCTGAAGCACAGTCGGTGCCCAAGAAGCTGGAAAGGAGAGATGTCTAATGTCTGGTGAGAAAGGCATCTCTGATCTCCCCTGGCCGACCTTTACCCAGTGAGTACAGGTGGGGAAGGAATGCTAGTGATGTGGGGCCGGGAGGTGGAGGCTCCAGTGGGGCAGCAGACTCCTTAGAGCAGCGACTTCTGGCAGAAATAACTGAGGCGGTGAGGGTCATTCAGCGGTGTCATTTAGGGCAGAACTTGAGCTGGTGACCCACCAAATCTCTTCCTATCTTAATCAAAATCGCATTCAATGAAGAGTTATTGCTTAAGGGGCACTGAGTTTCTGTAGGAGGAGATGAAAACCTTTGGAAATGGACAGTGGTGATGGTTGCTCAACATGTGAATGGAATTAACGTCACTGAATTGTCCACTTAAAAATGGTTAAAATGGCAAACTTTTGTTATATATATTTACCACAATAAAATAAATTACTAAAAAAAAATTGTGTTCAATTAAAATAAGCTTCATTTTGTGTTAGGGATAGCCAGGCCTGGGCAAAAACAAGTAAAGTGTAACGTGCCATCGCTGTTGAACCCTGGTGCAGGCAGCATTAGCACAGGGCTAAGTGGAGCCAGGATAAATCATTAGCAACTACTTTCTCACCCAGAATCGATCCAGTGATTAGACAAGAGACTAGGGTCATAGTCTAGGCTTGTAATCGACCTTTCAAACATACCACTGCCTTATGAAAAGTCAAACAAAAAACACAGCACAGCCCACAGGTACCACGGAAAAGGATTTCAAACTGGCCCAAAGTCATCCTACCTCTGATATTCAGAGCTTCAGATTTTTTCTCCTTTTCCATCATTTCCTCAGGCTCAGTCTGGGTGTTCAGGGAATCACCTGCATTCAAAGAAGAAACCTCGTGTTGTGTATGAGTTCTACAAACAAAAAGAACCAATGAACTCAAAAACAAGTTTCGTTATTTTTAATCCTACTAGCTAATCAGAGACCCTACCCCTCCCCACACACAGCCCAGGACAGGGCATTTTGGCCCTGAAATAAGCCTTGTGGTCCCCCTTTGAACTTTATTCACACTTCGTTCCAAGTTAAAACAAAAAAGGGGCAAGTGGGAGCTTCCACCCCAAAACCCTTAACTCCCAAGGGGGTAGCGGGGTGAGCAAAGAAGGGAGAGCAAAGACGGAGGGAGAAAAGCTAAATTTAGAAAGCAATTAAAGCGGGCGGGGCGGAGTGCTACCTGTTGCTCAGCAGAAATGACTAATCCAAGGAAACCAGTAATCTCTACAGAGAATGCGGAGGCTGGGGGAAGGGGCAAAGGGGCCTGGGAGTCCAGGAGAAACAAAGAAATCGTGGGGAATATTAGACTTAGCAGAAGAGAGGGGAAGCGGCCTGCAAAGCAAGGCAGTTAAAAACAGCTGACTGGGAGAAAAGAAAGGCGTGGAGTGGGGAGGACCGGGCGGGCGGAAGAGGGACGGGCCAAGCGGTTCAGAGGATGCAACCGAGAGGCACCTGCTACGTTTGAGAACACGGTCGCCCCCGTCTCCTCCTTCCTTTCGGCCGGGGCCACCCGGAGGGTCGCGCCGGGGGCTGTCGGGGTGGCGGCCTGGCGCCGGCTCTCCGCGCCCTGGGGTCCCCCGAAAGCGCCGCGCGCGTCGCCCTCGGCCGGTGGCTGCTGCTGGCGGCGGCGGCGGCGGCGGCCCCGGCCACAGCAGGCGAACCAGGCGGCGCAGTCCTGGAAGATGAGCAGCCCCACCACGTTGACCGCCAGCCCCAGGGCGCCCACGATGAGCACCAGCTCCGGGTCATCGATGCGCTCCGGCCGGGCCAGGCGCAGTATGGCCTCCACGAAGATGGTGAAGCAGAGCGCCGTGAGGAAGACGGCGTTGCTCAGCGCGCCCACCGCCTCGGCGCGGGCGTAGCCGTAGGTGGCCTGGGAGCCCCGGGTGGAGCGTCGGGCGATGTAGCCGGTGCCCAGCCCCACGCACAGCGAGATCAGGTCCGAGAGCATGTTGAAGGAGTCGGAGAGCAGCGCGATGGAGTTGCCCAGGTAGCCCGAGACCAGCTCTGCCACGAAGAAGGCGACGGTGAGCACCAGCATGAAGATCAGCCGGCACGTCTTGCCCGAGTAGCGGCCCATGTCCGCCCCCCCGTTCGGCGGCCCCGGCGCGGCCCGCCC